TTTCTGTGTGTGTGTGTGTGTGTGTGTGTGTGTGTGTGTGTGTTATTATAATTCAGTAAATTCTTCTTCCTGTCCAATTCAGCTTCCTGTAGGTGTAGCCAATGCAATGCAATTCAAATCAAAAGTGAGTAACTTCAGTGAAGTTTGAAGGAAATAAAACACCTAGCAACCAGAGCACCCTAGCAACTGCATCGCAACATTGTAAACTACACTCAGAACACCCTAGTATAGCAACATGTTACACACGACTCAGAACAGCCTAGAAACTGCATAGCAACAGTCTTAACGAGACTCAATTGTTTATTGTGTGTGTGGATGTAAGTGAGTTACAGTGTGAATATGAGTTTACAGCAACACAAATAAACATATTTCACACACACACACACACACACACACACACAGCATTTGAAGGAAATAAAACACCTAGCAACCAGAGCACCCTAGCAACTGCATCGCAACATTGTAACATTTTAACATTTTGAACACATTAGTAACAGCACAGGCTAGCACTGTCTCTCTGCTGAAAACCTAGTTTATTAATCTAATGGTGGGAAAGCACACACACACACACACACACACACATACACACACGGGGCCTCAGCTGGTCGTGTGCTATAATATAACACGTAGCCAGTCCGATTCAATGACAGCAACTCAGAATATAACCTACATCCAAATCCAGACATGAACACAGACACACAATGGCCTCATGGGTAATGTGGGAACCTGTTAAATGAACATGCCCAGTGCCAGCAAATATGTGGACACTAAAACAAATGACTCTCCATCCAATTAAAACAAAGCGAAATTAGAGAATTCATCACTGTCACCCAGCGTGTTTACAGTCATTAGGCCTCTCTGAAGTTTCCAATGCCCTTTGCCCCTCCTAACACAGAGGCAACGCAGTAACAATACTAGGCAAATGCCACACGAATGTTAGCAGAAGGGCATAAGTGAATTCATGGCAGGAGAGGGCTGTCTGTAATGGACAGTACCGCTACAATCACATCACACATTCTTTCATTGCCAGGAGGAGACATCCAGAGACCTCTGTGGGATCAATATTCACTATATTCTGTTACCCACATTGTTATTTTAGTTACTTAATTGCAATGAATGTTTACTTTTAATAAGAACACTGATTTAGAAGGATATTGTGATGGAATTTCACTTGTCTAAATCATCTTTTCTTTGGCTGATGTTTGTGTGTGTGTGTGTGTGTGTGT